CTGTGAATTGAGTTTTCCCCACTGTATATAGGATGATGTTATTATATGATATATTGGTATATCTGTATGATTACATGTACTTGGTGGTTATGTGTTTATGTTTATCTATTGCATATGTTGATATATTGTGGTTGGATTGAGGCGGTCCTACTTTATGCTGAAGGCCAAGATACACGGGGTGGTCCGAATAAGTTGTAGGCCCTGCGATGCTGTCCAATCAGACCGAAGGCTTGGAGGGCGGTCCAAATAGCCTATAGGCTCTATGAGACGGTCCAGTCAGGCTGAAAGGCTTATATATATATATATATATATATATATATATATATATATATATATATATATATATATATATATATATATATATATGCATGATGTTATCTGTTTGGTTGAGTGTAGTACCTTGGGGGAAACTCACTGAGCTTTGGCTTACAATTTGATTTTTTTTGGTTTCAGGTACTTCAGAGGATAGGGGCAAGGCGAAGGCTTGATCGTGCACAACATCCTGGATTTTCATGTGTTTTATGATTTTGAGATGCTATGATTCATGATTATGACTCTTGGAAACTTGTTTTGTAAAACTTATGGATTTTGGAATGGTTTAAAAATTAAAAAGTTTCATTGATTTCCAGGATGTTACAAATTGGTACCAGAGCCCTGGTTTGAGAGAATTGGATGAACATTCGTGTGAATCCAGACTCAATCTAAGGATCTGCAAAGGTTATCAAAATTATTTTTAAAAATAACCAAGGAAGGATGCAATGTGTACGATCAGCCGGAGCAAGAAGTATTCCCCAATTTACCCACACTGTTATTTGTTTGTGATGATTATGATAAAACTGCATGCTAGTTTATAGGCTAGGGGTCTTCAAGAGTTGCATGATAGAATTGTCTGATGTATGATTTTTGATATCCTATGATAATATCTTATTATGTTATATGGAACTGACATTATTATCGTGGTTGCTTAGTGTATGCATCATAGTTGTACATAACTAAGATTTTATAGCCTGAGAATGTTTAATTTAGCCTTACTACCTGTTTGGTTGTCGGCTTAGGGTAGAATCAGGTATTCAAATGTCTATCGAATCTAGTGTTATGTATGATTAGCATACACGAGCAACTGCAGAGTTAATGGAAGCTTCATTAGTGAGTGTGGATTGTAGCAGGCCAGTATGAGGACGGATTAGCCACTCCTGAAAGAGTATGTATAGGATGTATGCATATGAGTAGTTGATGATTCTAGTGGGTTGGAGCTCGTGATGATCCTCTGAGACAAATACAGGTAGGTATGGAAGGTAGTATGGACCCGCACTATTGAAAGCATAAGACTCGTACACGTATCAAGGAAGTCACGAACACTGTGGATGTGAAAATTTGTATAATGTTATAGTATGAATTGTAGTTTTCAGATGTATTTCGGTTTACTTTTTGTATGTTGATCATTAGGGGCTCTGGATCAGGAGCGGGCGGCCCGGCGAGGCCAAGATTGAATGATGATGAGATTCGGGAATTGATCTGCACTGAGGTGAATACGACTGTTCGGAGTGCTATCCCAGAGGTTTTTGGGTCTATTAAGATCGCGATGGTTGAGCTCGTCCATGAATGGTAAGCCACCATGACTGAGGTTGCTGCTGTTGTAGCTACTACAACTGTTGTTGTGGGGGTTCAGGGGAGAGGTTCATTTCAATATCGAGACTTCAACAATACGAAGCCCCCAGAGTTCGAGGGGATCAAGGGACCGATCATCGCCATGAGATGGGCTTTTTACGTGGAGGGTTGCTTCTTTACTTGTTCCTGTCCAGAGGGCTGGAAGGTCAGGTGTACCCTGAACCTTATTCGCCTAGGTACGAAGGACTGGTGAAACTTGGTGACCGGTTCTTATACTCCTGATCATAGGATTGTTGTTACTTGGGGGTAGTTCTCAGAGATGTTTTACACTGAGTATGTTCCCTGGTTGACAGGGAGAGGTTAGCTCAGGAGTATATGTCGTTGATGCAGACAACAGAGTCGGTGATGGAGATCACCAAGATGTTTACTAAGAGAGATCTTTTCTGCCCTGAGTATTCTGCTTCGGAGCAGACCCAGATGTCGCGATACTTGAGCATGCTCAAGACTGGGATCCGGAAGGTTGTGTCTACCCAACGATACCATACCCTCTCAGAGCTTCAAGATGTCATGCGGAGGAGGAATATTGAGATTAAGACCCAGTCGAGGGAGTAGAGGTAGGCCATGGTTCAGTCATAGCCAGCAGCAAAGCAGTTCAAGCACTCTGATTCATGATCTGGAGGTCAGAGAGATCGCAGTTGTGGAAAGTGCAGGAAGGCGCATGAGGGCGCATACCGATCAGCTACTGGGTGCCACAAATGTGGAAAGGAGGTGCATTTCACGAGGGAATGTCGTCAGCAGGCTCTATCTGTGGGTATCAGGATTTGTTATCATTGTGATCAGGTGGACCATGTGAAGGCCCAATGTCCTTTGCTTGCCGCCCGACCCGTGCAGGCACCAACCCCGACTACTTTGAATATTATAGATGGATGATAGAGGAGAGTTGAGGCCCTAAAGGCCAGGGGTTGTGCTTTTCAGCTCATAGCGGAGGAGGCCAGGGCGGCACCTGACGCCGTTACTGGTATGTTCTAATTTATTATCCAGTTAAGATATTTTATTATATGCTTATGATTGTATTTCTGGTAGGTACCTTCTTAGTGAATTCATTGCCTGCTCTTATGCTTTTTGACTAGGGTGTGAGTCGGTCTTTTGTATCTCAGCCCTTCAGTAGGAGTTTCGATATGGAACTCGGAGTTTTGGAGTGTCCATTGTGAGTTTCTATGGCCAACGAGCACGAGGTTTCTACTTTGAGCATTTTCTGATATTGTATCTTAGAGATATTCAAAGTGTCTTACCCAATCAATTTGATTCCCATCCCCATGGGGGACGTGTAAGTGATAGTAGGGATGAATTGGTTGAGAAAATTTGGTGTCATGATTGAGTGTGAGGGACAACGGGTGGTAGTTCGAACCCCAAGTGGGGGAGACCTGATTATTTATGGTGAGGGTATCAGGGTTGGTTCGACCTTTTGTTCAACCGCCAGGGCTCGACAGTATCTTCAGTATGGATGTTCGGGTTATCTCGCTTACATGATTGACACTCGAGTCGAAGGGGGAGTTTCAGTTTCGGATGTGCCTGTAGTCAGAGAGTTTCCAGATGTATTACAAGAGGATTTACCCGGTGTGCCTGCTGCAAGGAAGGTTGAGTTCAGGATTGATTTGGTTCCCGACAAGGCCCCAATTGCTAAGGTGTTATACCGATTGGCACCGCCTTAGATGTAGGAGTTGTCCTCTCAGCTCCAGGAGGTATTAGGCAAGCAGTTTATCCGAATGAGTAGTTCGCCATGGGGAGCATTGGTTTTGTTCATGAAGAAGAAGGATGGTTCACATCGGATGTGCATTGATTACTCGGAGCTGAACAAGTTGACTGTGAAAAACTATTAACCATTCTCACAGATTGATGATCTCTTTGATCAGCTGCAGGGTGCGTCTTGGTTCTCCAAGATTGATTTGAGGTTAGGGTATCATTAGATGAGAGTTAGAGAGGAGTACTTGGAGAAGACAATGTTTCAGACTTGTTATGGTCATTACGAGTTTGTGGTGATGTCGTTTGGGCTCACCAACACATAAGCGACATTTATGGATTTGATGAATCGGGTATGCCAAACAGACCCTACATCCGATATGATCCTACCTGGTTGTCCCTTGCTTGATAGATCATGATGTAGACATTGGGATTAGTAAGGAATCTAAACTATCAGTCACCAGGAATATTAGACTAAGACTTGGTATAAATCATACCTAGTAAACACCAAGTGAATGTATAATTACTTTTAACTTACACATATATATCAAATATTTAATTTGCTTAAATGCGTTATGTGTTTATCTGCGTTCTTAATAATTGTGCTAAATGAGATAATAAATTATACTCGCAGTAAATATTATATGTATTTTATTATACTTATATTGTATCAGATAAAAAAGGTAGAGATGGAGAAAAGAGATAGTATAGTGGAGAAACACCATGCTAGAGATAAAATAGTGGTGATAGACCATAACAGAGATAATAATGAGAGACCATGCACAACTAAGAGCAGTCATTAAGCAGAGTATTGATGACAACCACAAACTCTTCTAAATAGTCTAGTGAAACACTAGTAGACTCACAATCTGTAGGTGTTAATGAATCATACTATCCTGGAGTATGGATTGTGTGTTCATTTGAGTACTCTATCCCCCTCATGGTTGCCTTACTGACATGTATTGCTAAGGAATCTCCAATGCAATGTTGTCTACTCGTTGTTATAGAGATCCTTTAGGATAGGTCCCTTGAGATTATCATTTAGGATCGAAGAGTGAAAATAACAAGAATGGATAATCGGGATTAATCTGTTTGGTGTGTGATATACTTAAAACAATATAATAATAATATTGTGGGTTGAGAACCCTATGTGCTCATCAGGTTTCCCAGCCTGGCTCACTCAGTTTCTTTGTATCACAGGTATCTATACGAAGGTACTAATAGATAATGAAATTATCTGCTAAGAGATTTAAGGAGTTCGTAGGCCGCTAGAATATTAATGTAAGGTCTTTTTATGCTTATGTTTCTATATCAGTTATGACATCCCAAGTTTTAATAATCAATGAAAAACCTTTTCTTCGTAAATACTATTACGGGACCAATTCTGCATTTATAAACAAACTTTGTTTTTAAAATAAACATAAATAAAACAGTCTTTTATGGCCGAGAAAGTTGGGGATGTCACATCCATCGACTCTCAGGTTATCTTCTCCGACGAGTCTTCGGCCAACATGAGTTTTCCAATGATTTCAAACCCATAAATCGAGATCTGATTTATGGACCTTCAACCTCCCAACAAAATTTCAACTGAAAACCTTGAATTCCTACCCTATTTTGTGGGTATCCCTCTGGTAGTGGCGACATCTTGATATATGGTTGTAGGTGGTTTGACGAGACAATCAGTGGTGTATGGAGTAGATGGGGATGACATGAGGTGGTTTTGGTGGTGTGTTCGGTGTTCAAAGATGGTGATGTTTCCGGTGGTTGAAGATGTTCGGAGGGGTTGATTTGCTATGCTGCAAAGGTGGTATATGGTGGCTGGAATGATATGTCAGGAACGTTGGTGAAATTCTCGGCGGAGTGAAGGCTCACCAAATCTACAAAACATGCCGAAAACCGGCTAAACCCACACCTACCGGTAATGATAAGATACGGACAAAAAAACAAGTTTAATGGGTAAATATTAAAAAAAAAAAAACAAAACAGTAACTAAATATGCATAAAACAAAAAATATTTTACTCTTATTAAATTATTAAAGTTAAAAGTTGTTATTATTATCTTAGAACATAATAAAAAGAATATCAATGATCGATAAAAATTAAATCGATATATAGTATATACGATAAAAATAATTTAAATTGCTATTTATCATGTTTTAAAAATATAATTTACATTGCTATTTAGTAATTGTAAAATTGAGCTTAAAATCAGTTTGAGATAATACCCACGACACGACCTTTTTCTCTCCTCTCGCACAAGTCCAAAGCTTCTCTCTCGGAGACGGTAACCGGTGATCGGCTAGAGAAACTAAGGCCTCAGATCGGCTTTGCTCTCACCAGATTCGGATCCGAGGTAATCAATAATTCTTTCGTTCATCGTCTGATTGTTTATCACTTCACTTCTCGCCTTTTCAGGTTTATGTTTTGTTGGGTTTTCCGATTCGATTTGTTTAGATCTGTTGCGGCGACGTCTCATATTTTCATTTTATGTAGTTTTATGATTGTTTGTGTTGTGAACATTGTCCCCCTGTGAATCTGTATTATATTGAATTCACGATTTATGGTTAGTGGCTAGCGTTTTAGGGTTTTGGATTTAGTCAATTTTCACTGTGAGTTTTAAACTCGATGTGTTTTTGATGCTGGATTAACCAGTTGAACACGGTTTTAATGGAATTAGCCATTTTACCCTCTATAAATAGAGAAATGAATAGTTACACAAGTAAATTATACAATCTCCAATCACACTCTATTTTAAGGTCTAGAAGGGGTTGGAGATGAACCACTCTAAATTTATAAAATAGTAAACATCAAACAAATAACTTCTCAACTAATTTCATCTTCAGGTTCATTAGTCATAAAAAAACACATAAAGCCTAAAACATCAAAAAGACACTGAAAGTTTAAGATTGACATAGAAAGTCTAAAACATCAAAAACACACATCAAGTTTGTAACCAAATTCAAACAGCATAAAAGCCACCACATTCTAACTTCTCATCCTCACAATCATCTTCCTCAAACCATTTTAATTCAACATTGTCAATCAAGTTCACTTGGAACACTTTTCCACATGTCATCTTCATTTGCATCACTTGGGTCAACTATCCACTCATCACCAGACAACACATTGTCGACAACCTACAAATCATCTTCTTCTTTTAAATCGACTTCTTCAAGAATTTCTGCTTCAAGTTTTTAGTGTTCAACCGGTTTCTTCTCTTTCTATGGGACTTGATTGAACACATAAGACCCAAAAGCCTTTACTAGACATCCCCAAAAAAAACTCTGTACAAAAAAACAGAATATAAACAGACGACATAAATAAAAATGCAGCAGTAAATGAAATAACAGTGAATGCAGCAGTCTCACAGAAAAAAAACATAATATAAATTGAGTACATAAATATATACAGACAAATTGATACAGTTACAGTTACAGTCTTAAAGAAGAGTCAGTAAATGAACTGAGCATAAATATATATACAGTCAGAATCTAACACAGCAGTGAAGCACAGAACATAAATTGGATATAAATTCAACATAAATTGATCATAAATTGATCATAAATACATACATACAGTTAGTCACACAGAGTGCAGAACATAATAATAAAGAAGATACATCATACAACTTTATTGAATAGTAAAATGATACAGAGGTCAGAGCATATAAAAAACACACATATGAAACTGAAAAAGATCCATAATACACATGTAATACATTTTTGTTGAACAATAGCAAACATACACCACAAATAGTGAAAGAATCCTATAGAAAAAAGAAGAGATTCACAGCTTTGAGAAATAGATACAAAAAAGTGAAACTTTGAGAGTAGCTTAATATTAATTTAAACATTACGGATGAGCAGTTAGTTTCTACAATCAGTCCAAATTAAAAAATATATATATATACAACATCGATTTTTTACTCATCAACCAAACTGGATTCCCCTTTCTTATTTTGACATTCTTTGGTTGGTTAAATCATTAATGGATTCTTGGTAGTGGAAAATGTGTTTTTATTGATTCATAACAATCGTTGAAATCAATTTCCAAATTCACAAAAATACATGGTATATTTGCATTTCTTTATCGTATCTTTCTGTATTTGATCATTAAAGATTGTAATTCATGATGGATGAATCTTTTATTAGTTTATGTTATTGATAATCTCATGGTTGGATATGCTAAAAGGCATAAATTGCAGATAAGATGGCATCAAAACTGAAGCAATTGCAATCAAAGGCAGGTCAAGCTTCACAGTTTTTGTCAAAACATGGAAGTGCTTACTACAAGCAGCTGATGGAGCAGAATAAGCAGTTTGTTCAGGAGCCAGCAACTGTTGAAAAATGCAATGAGTTGTCCAAACAGCTCTTCTACACTCGCCTTGCAAGGTTAACTTCTAAAAATTTCACTTTCATATATCATTTGTTTCACTTTCATATATGTTATAATAATTAATAAACAAGTAAATGAAAGTTGGTTGTTATTTCTATTTCTACAGCCTCCCTAACCGAAACGAGTCATTCTGGAAGGAGGTTGATCATGTGAAGAATCTATGGAAGAACAAACAAGATTTGCATGTGGAACAAGTTGGAGTTGCTGCATTGTTTGGGATTGAATGTTTTGCATGGTTTTGTGCTGGTGAGATTGTTGGAAGGGGTTTCACAATCACTGGTTACCATGTTTGAGTTTTTTTTTTTTTTTTTTTAAAGGGAGAAAAAAAACACACATAAAAAGAAAAACCTCTTTTAAAAACTTGCAAGGCTTTTCTATTTCATGGTTTCGTTCATGGAACTTGTGTAATGTTACTACTACTTCTACTTCTACATTCTTTCTTGGAAATTTTGAAGCTGAGAAAAATCAGTTGTAATTTGGTTGCATTTGCATTAATAATCTGCAATTTAGGATAATGACTTTGTTAGTTTGATTCGAGTGTTTGCAGAAGAATGACTAGAATTGTTTTATCTTGTTTGCAGGGTAATATTGTCTTTATACTCTTTGCATATTGTTTGATAGGAAAAAAATGCGCCTTGAATCCTTTTGGTTTAAATAACATCTAGTATCATTTAGGAATGAGCTTTAGAACTGGACCGGTTCGGAACTGTAACTGGATTTGCTATACTATAGGAACCGGGAGCCAAACCGACGGTGGTGTGCCGGTCCCGGTTCTTTTTTTTTTTTTTTTTTTTTTTTTTAAATAGAACTAGTTATATGTTATAAATGATATACTGACTTTTAGGGCATATAGATGATCCGTCTTCCTAACATGTAAATGATCCAATATTTAACAAAAATATGATTTTGTACATTCTAAAATGATGTATAAAGTACAAACATTAAATTATATGCTGTAAAAAAATCAAGTAATTTCGTTTTCATATGAGTGAGTTATGAGTATTCTAAAAAACAGGACAGATTCCAAAAAAAAAAATGTTGAAACATAAAAATCACAACATTGATATGCTGTCTTCCTAGGATATAACTGATTCAATATTTAACAAATATATATATATATATATATATATATATATATATATATATATATATATATATATATAGAGAGAGAGAGAGAGAGTCTAAAATGTAGTACAAACACCAAATTATATGCTAGAAAAAAATTAAGTAATTTTGGTTTCACATAAGTGAAGAGGTTAAACATAAATTTGGTATTCATGTGAGTATGGGACAATATATAAGCATGCAATTCTACTAATTGAAGGAATTAATGGAGAAGTATGCAAATAAGCATGCAATTCTACTAATTGAAGGAACTAATGGAGAGTATGCAAATCTCTGGTCATATGTTGAGGAGATAAGAAGATCAAATCCAAGATCGAAAGTCAAAATGAGTGTTAATTGTATGTCGGATGGAAAGACATATTTTATCAATTTCTACATATGTTTTGAGGGACTAGAGCAAGGAAACATGTCCTTAAGTTGAAAGTCACATAAAACTCAAGGTAAAGAAAAGGAAAATAACATATAAGGAAGATGGTAAGGATGGGGAACAAAACACTGGAACAAAACCAATTGAAGATGCAATAACAGAAGATAAAGGGAAAGAGGGTACATGTAAAAGGAAAAAAATTGAAAGAATTATCAAGAAAAAAATAGCTAAAAGGGTTGAGGGTAAGAATGGAGAAGGAAATAGTGGTAAAAACCCAATGAAAATTGACTAGGATATGACTTTGATTTTATGTTATTATGTACTAGTTATATCTGGATTTATGTTTGGATGTACTTGTTATGTTTGGAATTATGTTTGGATGTTTGATGTTATGTATTACATTTGGTTGTCCAACAAACATTTTAATGTTAATGGTATGTATGATGTTAAGATTTTATGTTAGTAATGGGTGTGCATGGTATTGTGGTGTATGTTACCCATTAGTGTAAGTCTAAGTGGTCCTTACTAAGTTAGTTACCTTATAAGGGAACATGTGGTCCATGTTACCTACAGTTTTAAATTGTCCCATTCCTTTAAGTAGAAGCATGTGCTCAATGACAATAAAAAAACGTCGCTAAACATTTAGTTATCTTTTTTGAAAGAGAACATTTAGTTACCTTAACTGTGAATGGCCATATATATCCAAGTCCGGTTAATGTCTATATATATCAATGTACTTTATTGACAATATAGTAGTGTACTTTATTTTCATTATATAAATGTATAATAATCACCACATATAACAATGTACTTTCCAAAATAAAACATATACTACTATCTTTCAATGTACCAAAAATAAACCCATATAAAAACATAAGTCGATACCAGTAACACAAACCTATTAAAGCTCATAACCAACTGAATGATTCAGATGCCAAAACTGAATGATTAACTCAGGTCTACATTTCTATTAACTTATATATATTGTGATTTATACAAAATTGCATGCGCTTACACATGTATTCAACAACATAAGATTACCATTACAACCATATTTAAATAACAATATAACAACTTCCAAGACATCCCAAATACAACCATCAGAATCACTTTCTAATAATCAAGTGGATTATCACCAACACATAAGAAACATGACCACAACGAGACTGGCCACCAAGACAACCGTATCATGAGTTTTCTTTATCATTATGCTCCAACCTGTGCTGCATATTCCATACCTCCAAACTCGAAATGACAAAGTCTCTTCCCATCTCATCTGCTGCATGATACGATCCACTTATGGAGTCCACTTAAATTTGTTGTGCTGCATATTTCATACCTCCAAACTCGAAATGACAAAATCTTCTCCCCGTAGTCACAGAAAATCAAGTGCAAATCGGTTATGTTTAGGCCATCTCGGGAATTTATGGAGTCCGATGAAGGTGGTTGGGTAGCCGCCATGGATAAAAGTTTCATTTTAGCAGGTAAATACTATGTTCGTACCCCTAGAAAGCACAAAAAAAAAAATCTTTTTCAATACATGTAAAATTGGATTTTTTTGTCCTTATCCGGGTAAATGATAAAATTTTCCTTTAAACATAGATTTTAACAAGAGAAATTGTATATATACACCCCAAAATGCTTATTGTACCTAGGGTTGTTAATCAGGTCAACCCAATCGGGTTTCGGGTTAAACGGGTCGGGTTTTTCATAAAAATAATTTCACCCGGAATCCGACCCTATTAAGGTACGGGTTATCCGGGTTCGGGTTAGTCGGGTTAATCGGGTTATAATGTTAGATAGAAATATTGTGTCATATTTATAATAAGGATTATTTTCATAAGCTTAAATCAGGAAGTGTTCAATCCAAATGACTTTGAATGCTTTCTTCCCCAATATTCCCCAAACTCATTTATTTTTCTTAGGGGTTCCATTCCATTTTTCATATAGATAGAAGTATTTTACTATTATTATATGTTAAATGAGAACAAAAAGACGAAATGGACATAAAAATTCTAGATTTTAATAGAGGAGATAACGATGTGGAAAACAAGACAAGAATTCTCTACAATGACACTGTAGACCAATGGAAAGGATGTAGCGCAGCTTGGTATGGTTTATTTTTTCTTGTTTGTACTATACAAGTAAAAATCATTATGCATTTGATATGAGGCTATGTATATTTTATTTTAGGCCACGTAAACTACTATTGCATATTATTTTACTATGCTACATATTAATTTTCAATTGTATAAAGCAATATTTAGTTCTACAATTCTATTACATCTTATTTTCCTTTTTTTTAGGCCACATAATGTACAAAAATATAAGACGTGAGGTGGAATGAAATACATAAATATTGTAGTATAAAAAAAAATGAACCCTAAACCCGCCCTAACTATAGTCCGGGTTTGTTGGGTTAACCCGAATAACCCGATTACGAATTTTGACCCTATTAAACCCGACTCGAAATGCCTTATTCGGGTTAGGGTCGGGTCGGGTTAATCGGGTTCGGGTTTTTTTTTTTTTTGACACCCCTAATTGTACCCTCCATACATGAGGATTTGAGTGTGTGTAACTCTATGTTTGGTTTTTTTTTTTGGCAAGTGATGTATACCTATAATAACATCTTTTTAATAATCAAATTTCCAACACAACCTCTTTTTACGTTGTTAGCTATTTTTTAAGAAATCATTCCAAAATCCCTTTATATTTGTGAACTCGGCCTTTAATCAACCTAGGGATCATAGGTCATTGTTCGTTATGATTGAAAATTTATCTGTTGATAAGTTTATGTGAAAATAATGGTATGATATTTGTAATTTATTTCTTGATTATTTGTTCTGTTGCAGGGTGTTATCGGCATCAATTAATGATGGTCATAATTTTTTCCTTTCTGAACTTAACAAAAAAGAGTGTTCACGATAACAAATATTCGACTAAATGCTTTCTTTAACATAATAAAAAAATAAAACAAACGTTTCATGAACAAGATTAAAACTCCGATTCAAATTATCAAAATTACAATTAATGATTAGTGGTCCTCTTTGGTTACAAAAGAATCTGGACAAAAAAATCGAGTCATCAGCAACTTCTTCATCGTTGTTCAATCTTGAATCGGTTTTTTTTATCAATGGTTGTGTTATAAGTACCCTTAGCTACATTTACCCCTTTAAAATCAATTAAATCAAATTTTTGACATTTGATTTGACATATTTTTTTTGTTTTTTTTCTTATTTTGTTTTTTTTTTGTTTTTAATTCTTTTTTAATTTATATTATTATTATTATTATTATATTTATTATTATTATTATTATTATTGTTATTATAAATTTCGTACGAAATTTTAACATTCGAACGACATTATAAATTCGAACGTCTATATAAAATCGGTTTTTAAATATTTTTTATATTTTAATATTAATATTATTACTGTTATTATTATTATAAATTTCGAAAAAAAAAATTATAAATCGGACATTATAAATTCGAACGGCTATATAAAATCGGAAACATCTTATAGTGCTCGAGTAAATATTTTCAATCCGCAAAACACAATACTGTACCAATTAATATCCGTAATTAATAAGGACAAATTTTGTTTTTGTTCCGATTTTATATAGTCGTTCGAATTTATAATGCCCGATTTATAAAATATTGTTCGCAATTTATAATAATAATAACAATAATAATATTAATATTAAAATATAAAAAATATTTAAAAACCAATTTTATATAGCCGTTCGAATTTATAATGTCGTCTGAATGTTAAAATTTTGTGCGAAATTTATAACAATAATAATAATAATAATAAT